ATGAGCAGGAACCAACAAACAAAATTGGAAAGTAATAGGCAGACAACAGGATAGCAAATAATAGATTCTGGAGATCAGTTAAAAGCTGTTTCAAGGAAAGAGCAACCAGCTAGGTCAAATTATGCTGGGAAGTAAAGAANCTGGAGATCAGTTAAAAGCTGTTCAAGGAAAGAGCAACCAGCTAGGTCAAATTATGCTGGGAAGTAAAGAAAGAAGAGAAAAGAGGCCCGGCTGGGCGTGGTTCAGTGGTTGAGCATCAACCTAGGATCCAGGCGATCGGGGTTTGATTCCCAGTCAGGGCACATGCCCGGTTGCGGGCTTGATCAATGACTCTCTCATTGATGTTTCTATCTCTCTCTCTCCCTCTCCTTTCCTCTCTCTGAAATCAATAAAGATAATGTTAAAAAAAAAAGAAGAAGAAGAGAAAAGAGAATTGACCATTGGGTTTAGCTCATGGTGGTTATCAGTAACCTTAAGAAGAGTAAGACTGGTAAAGTGAAAGTGACTGATGGATTGGACTTTGAGAATGGAGAGAGGAAGTAGAAACAATGAGTAAAGACAAGTCAGGCAATATTGCTGTGTAAGGAAGAACACAGAAACAGAACAATAGTTGATGATGAATGTAAGGAGGTGTTTGTTTTTTTTAAGTAGGAACTATTATTGTACACTTGTAGGCTGATAAAATGATTCAGAAGGGAAGTAAAAAGTGAGGGGCAGGAGAGAGCAGGAACAACTCTATAGCAATGTCTAAGTAGAAGAGAAGGAATTCCTTCTGCACAATTGATATGTGTAGGAATTTTGGCTTAGATGGGAACAGGGAAAACATCTATCAGGAGGAAAGCATGGCCTATGGACACTGTAGCTAGGAAATTGGTAGATTTAGGACTGGGGCACACAGAAGTTCTTGTTATGATTGCCTTTATATTCTCGGTAAAATAAGAGACTAAGCCATCACCTGAGAGTGAGGAGAGATGAAATAATCAACTGGGAGAGCAAAAAAGTGTTTGGAAATGAAGAAGGATTTCTGGGCAGCTATTAGGGACCATTTAAATGAGTTTGTGACTCATTTAAAGTGAGAAAGTCAGCAGAAGAAATGTACGTATGTGTCAACAAGGAGAGAGACAATAATGAGTTTGTTGACATAAGCTTCAGCAAACTTTGGGGTTGAGAGAAGAGAAAGAAACCATGGTCTAAAAGTTGACAAGGGGTAGCAAGAAGGAGATCTACCCCACCCTTGGGCCGAGTGATGAGAAAGGAGAGTATCTACCATTTGAGAAAGCCACAGAAAAGTGGTATCCTCAAGGGATAGCCCAGGCTCAGAGAAAGAAGGTAAAGACCATGTTCAGCCGGGAGGCTGAGTATACAGTGGACTTTGCTAATGACAAATCAAGAATTTCAGAAGAAACTGGAAGGATGTGTGAGGTAGGGGATGNTGGTATCCTCAAGGGACAGCCCAGGCTCAGAGAAAGAAGGTAAAGACCATGTTCAGCCGGGAGGCTGAGTATACAGTGGACTTTGCTAATGACAAATCAAGAATTTCAGAAGAAACTGGAAGGATGTGTGAGGTAGGGGATGGGTGGGAGACAGTAAGATTAAGGAATGTGCAGAGTCATAAGGAGTCTCGAGCTTCTTCAGTGAGCAATGAGAACAAAGTTATTGAGCAGGATGGAATTGCCCTCCCTTTTCTTGGTTTATTAGCTCTGTTTTGTTCTTTTATTCAGTGCTTTACCAATTATGGTGTAAACCTTTAACTTATCACAGTTTCATTCTAATGCTGTTACATGAGACAACTTCACTTGTAGCATAAGGGGCCTTACCGTAGAATATTTGCATCTCCCCTCCCAGCCTCGGGCCCACGTTGCCATCCATTTCCTCTCTACATATGTGTTAAACCCCACGATTCTTTGTTGTTACTTTTGCTTTAAACAGGTGAGTGTTTAAACACATTTAAGTAATAAGAAAAAAATCTTAAATATTTACCCAAATACTTACCATTTCCAGTGGTCTTCATTATGTTGGGTAGATGCACATTTCCATCTGATACGATTCTCTTTCTACCTTAAGGAACATTTAACTTTTCTTCTAGTCTGAATGTGCTGGTGATGAATTCTTTCATCATTTTTATGTCTGAAAAAGTTGTGTTTTTTAATTTTTTGTTTTTGAAAGATATTTTTACTGGGTAAGAATTCTATGAGAGTTTTTTTCTTTGAGTATTTGGAAGATGCTACTCATTGGTATCTCATGCATTTTTTCCAACAGGAAATATTCTGCCATCCTTGTCTTTCTTCCTCTGTATGCATACATCTTCTTTCTCTAGCTGCTTTAAAATTTCTTTTTCTCACTTGTTTTGAGCAACTTGATTACGATGTGTTTTAATGCAGTTTTCTTTTTGCCTGGGTTTTGCTGAGTTTCTTAGATCAATGAATTAATAGTTTTCATCAGATTTGAAAATATTTCTACTATTTTTTCATTACATATTTTTTTCTGTTCCCAAAACCCCTCCTCCCATTCAAAGCCTCTAATTACACATATCACAGGACACGTCAAGTTGTCCCACAGCTCATTGATGCTGTGTTTAATTTTGACACTTTTTACTGTCTTTTTAATTTTGTATAGCATGTCTTCCAGTCTATCTTATTAACCTTTTCTTCTGCAATGCTTGGTCTGCTATATAATTTGATTCAGTTTATTTTTTAATCTCAAACATTATAGTTTTCATCACTAGATGTTTGATTCTTTTTTAAGATAACTTCCATGTTTCTACGTAACACAGTCTTATCTCTAGCTCTTAGAATAGATGGAATGTAACTGTTTTAATGTCCTAGTCTACTGATTCTACCATTTCTAAAATTTCTAAGTCAGTTGTGGCTGATTGGGGTTTTTTTCTCTTTAGTTATGGGTCACATTTTTCTGCTTTTTACATTCCTGACAATTTTTAATTGAATACATTGTGAACTTTACCTTGGTGGGTGCTCAAAATTCTTATTCTCGTAAATATTCTTTAGCTTTGTTCTGGCATGCAGTTTCTTGGAAACAGTTTGAGCCTTTGGGGTCTTACTTTCAAGCTGTGTTGGCAGGACCAGTGAAGTGTTTGTTTTAGAGCTAATATTGTTCCACTACCGAGGCAAAACCCTTTGTGTTTTCTACTTGATAATCTATTAATTATAAGGTTTTCTAGTCTGTGAGTTGGAGACAGACAATATCTTATTTCTGTGTGAGCTATGCAGGTACTATTTTCTCTATTCCTTTTAGACCATTCTTTCCTGAATGTTTGGTAGTTCATTCTCATTCTCTCTCTCCCTCTCTCTCTCCCTCTCTCTCTCTCTCTCACACACACACACACACACACACACACACACACTGATCCATAGGAAACTGAAGACTCAAGGGGAACCCTCAGCCGACTCTAGAGCTCCCTTTCTGTGTCTCTCCCTCATATTTAGTAAGTACTCTTCCTGGCCAGCTCTAGCTGCTCCCTAGATACTCAGCTCTGTTTTCCAAACTCAGAGTGGGTCTCTTCTCCTGCACTGCAGCCTTAAAACTCTCCCCAGATCTTAACCTGGGATCGTTGTAGGGCTCACATCATTTGTTTGGTTTCTCTCAGGGATCACTGTCCTTTGTTGTTGAGTGTCCATTGACTTGAAAACCACTGTTTCATCTATTTGTCCGGTTTTGTCCTTTGTTTCAGTCTCTATTGCCTATTACTTCATCTTATTTGGAAGTAGAAGCCTGAAAACATTCTCTTTGTAGAAGAATTCATGCTTTAAACCAGCTATAGTGGTTCAGATATTGCATTTCTGAAATTCAGTCAGCACAGTTTGAATGCTAATAGAGTGGGTTGGAGGCTTGCGTTATCCCAGAAGTAACTGGTAAGTGTACCTTACTAGAAGGTGTCATTCAATTATAATAATTCTGTTTTCCAAAAGTCTTTCCTTAATGAACAGAAGAGAGGCTGTTTCTAGAGCATTAATAACTAACTGTCTCTAAACATCTTAAGAGATCATTACAGATTTTATAAAACCTTACTTGTGTTAGTTTAAGGTAACTAGGAAAACAAAATATGTGGCCCATAACAATCTAAATGAAGAAAATGTGGGTTGGGAAATCAAACCAATAGTAAGCTAATCTGAGTCCCAGGAGGGAAATCCCTGGTCTAGAAATTAGTGCAGGAGTCAGCAACTTCTCCCAGGCTTGGCAACAGGAAACATGCTGTGATTTGTTCAGTGACATGGTGGCCAGAGCTATGGAGAGTCATGTGCAAGAATGTGCATGGACATGAGAAACTCCCACCCCACCAATGCACCAATTTTTAAGTTAATCTTTTCTCACTCCTTCCCTTTACATCCCAAGTCTTCAGGTTTCGGATAGCTGAGAGCCGGATACAGAGAACATTTAGATGGTTCCCAGATGGGAGGGGGTCAGGGGATGGGTAAAAAAGGTGAAGGGATTAAAAAGTACAAATTGGCAGTTACAAAAATAGTCCCAGGGATGTAAAGTACAGCACAGGGAATATAGTCAATAATATTGTAATAACTATGTATGGCATCAGATGGTTATTAGAATTATCAGGCTGGTCACTTTGTAAGTTATATAAATGTCTAATCACCGTGTCGTACACCTGAAACCAATATAATATTGTATGTAAACAGTGATTCAAAAGTAAAAAATTATTTTAAAAAAAGTTCTCAGCTTGTGGGCCATGGAAAAATAAGTCACAGTGGATTTGTTTGTCCTGTGGGCTGTAATTAGGTGACAAAAAAATAAAGGATCTCTAAGTAAGGCCCTATCCAAATGTAAATATAAAAATATATATAAGGTACACTGTTATTTTAGAAGCCATATTTTTTACTAAGTATAGTGGTTACTCAGTAAATATTTGCTGAATGAATCTGCCCTAAGAATAAATTTCTATTTTAGGGGACTAAAATGATACAAAATAATGACTTGGTGTTGTAATAAAATGTTGTCAATTTTATTAAAACTTCACATAATTAAGTAAGTTTGTTTTTCTTAAAGCCCATTTTATTGTATTACTTCATCAGAGTCAGCTGGCTCAGTGAGACTGTCACTGATAAAGGCATGTACAAAGTTAGCACCACACATCTACAAATGCAGATGGCCATGGTGACCTTCCCCATATGTACAACCCACTTTTACACATACACACATATATTTACAGCTAATAAATAACACTCAAAGCCAAAGCATTGTTAATATATGATATAGAGTGAACTCTACAGAAGCCAGAGTTCCCAGGGCCATGCACTGATTTGATTGATATGTTCTTAGGTTTATGCACCCTTCCTCAAAACCCAAATCCAGGAAATTAATGAATTAGCAATAAAGGGGGATGCCAACCACTAATCACACAACATTTTATTTTTAGAGAGAATTCATGCCAAACTGGCTGATATCAACCACAACATTCGTCCTACTCTGCATAGGTACAACTGCATTTCTCAGACGAAGGGTTGACTTTCTGGCAGCTCTGGAACAATTTCCACGCCAACAAATTCCAACACATCTTTAGATCATTCACCTTCTAAGCCGCACCAAGTAATTAACATGCGTGCGGGGTTCATATGTGAGTATGTATGTGTTCAGGCGCCCACACGTGTTCACAGTTTGGATTCCCAGCAATAGCCTCTGAGATATTTGACTTCTTTATAGTTTTATATTAATATACAGAAAAGCATTCTGAACACAGGAGATCTAGTTTATAAATAATTGCTCACTCATTCCTGGCTAGTTGTTAAAAACAACTCTCATGACATTTCCTGTGGCTGTGGCAATTGAGGATTCTTTTCATCTCCCATAATGGCTATAAACACTGTTTATGAATATATCCCAGTGACTTTTCCATCTCTCCACTTAGTAAAAACGGTCCTTATCTAAAATTTGTAGGCGTTTGTGTGATGCAAAATCTGACTTTGAACACATTTTCTTATCAAAACCAGGGGAGAAAGAGACATGCCCCGAGTATGACTGAAGTATGACTGAGCTAAGCCTAAAACCGAATAGAAACCATTGGATTGTAAAGGGCGTCACCCCGATGAACAGTTTTGAAAATCTGATCCTAAAATTATGGGATCATTTTCTTTCTCCATAGTGAAAATTATGTGTCAGCTGAGTGGAACAGGCTCATTTCAACACCCGCCCAGGGAACACTGTTAAAATATAGCTTTGAAACAGCAAGAAAAGAAGGGGAGAGGTTAAGCCATAAACTCTAAAGCCTTTTAAAACCTAATTGTTCTAAATTTTCTGTCTCCTTTAGTTTGTAACAGTTATGATGCAACCAGCCACAGGGAGTGTTTAAAGGTTCGGTTCAGCTCCTCGCTCCGAGTCACTGGTTCCTGGTCAGCTCCTGGGCCACGTCCCATGGCAAGAGGGGAACCAGGCCCAAAAAGGCAGGTGTTTTGACCAGTAAGGAAATAAGTCAGACAAAAAATTATTTTCTAGATTCAGATTTGGAGTAAACTTTGAGAATGTATCGATCCAGAAAATTCAGAATTCCAACAAAAATATGAGGTTCTAATCAGTTGTAGGCTATGACAAAACTCACTACATAAAGAATCTTCATTATTTTACCACGAGCCCAAACAGTGCTTTTCATATCTGCTGTTTTTTAATGTTGGAAAATGTGCTATTTGGCCACTGTACTGCTCAAATTGAATTAGCCACTTTTTTGTATTTGAGATTGTCTCTGAAAATAACTAACAAGGATAGCTGGGATTAATACTCAGGAAAATTCACTTTGAACCACCCAAAGCTCTGGGCTTCTCTTGTAAAAGTTACTTCATTCTCCGCAGAATTCATGTGCTGTTCTTCCTTCTGTAGATTCTGAGAAAAAAAGAGAGAGAGAAAGAAGGGTGATTTATTATCTGCTTAGTGTTTTACAAGCCTCGGCCCTCCC